GTTCTATTGGCTGGAAAGGTTGCTAGGAGACGATCTGATCCAATCTGAGAGAGAGCAAAAAAAATCCGCAAGCAGAGCCTACAGGTTTGCGAGCGTATCTGAGACTCGAGCAGAGCGCGGTTTGTGCGCGAAAAGAAAGAAGATGCGAGAGGAGAAAATGTCTGTGCAAGAAGCATTAAATCTGAGAGAAGAAACAAAGATTTGAGAGAGGAGAGAAAATATTTGAGACCGAGCGCATGTTTTGAGTGTGAGCATTATAAGTTTTGAGTGCAAGAAGATGAAATCCTTTTCTCAAACTGAAATTATGTGCTCTTGCATTATGGCAGGATAATTCTCCCATACATGCTTTGTTTTAACATATGTGCTGAGGTTTAAAGTAAGATTCTTTTGTTTCCCCTTTCCCTTTAGTTAAACCTCAGCTGGTGTAATTAGGTACATCCCCTTTTCTTCAATAAATAGCAAGGAGAAAGCTGAAGACTGCAGAGTCGGGTGGAGATTCTAAACTCCGCAGTCTCTTCCTATTCTCCTCGCGAGTAACTAAATTAATTGTCTCTGTGCTTTCTATCTTTCCCTGTATGTATGTATGTATGATGTTTTAGGTGCTTAGACCTGACATTAATTTTTTTATTTCTTTGATCCCGCAGCAGTGGACCGAGTGGACCTGCCGCCTCGCCAGACCCCAGCAGGACGTGTCGCTGACTAACCTCCCACTGAGGCGAGACTCATCACACAATATCTTATTTCTGAGAAGAAAAAAAACTTCAAAAAGAGTTTTAAATTTGTAATAAGTACTTTGAATTTTAATTTATTGGAAAATTTGACATTTGTACTCACAAATGTTTAATTTCAAGTGATAAAAATGTATTGATAAATTAAACTTCTATGTGAATATATGTAATTTGTAGCTGTAAATTTGATTTGCGCTTGCAGGTTTGCTAATTGGATTAGTACATTTGTAATTTATATTACTTAATTTGTGCTTGTACTTCTGTTGCTGCAAAGTTGTAACTTTGAAACTTATTCTGGTAACCGCTCAACTTGTTTTCTCACCGATGCAACATCTGAAATCACCTGTATGTGGGAGCTGACAACAAGGAACTACGGCCGAAACAAAAAATCGTGATTAATCGATTATTTAAGTAATCATCAGTGATCAATTGATCGTTAACTGGAGTATAGAGAAACATGCATTTAGCTGACAGAACGACCCACTTACAGCAGGAATTATATCAAAATTTTACTTTAAAAAATATGAAAACATTTAATATTTAAGATAAAAAAGAAAAGTTTTGTTTGCCAATCTGCTCTATAATCCAGAACTCCTTAAGAGAAAAAGTTTTAGTTTCACCGGTTCTAATTTAATAAAAAATCTTTAACGAACCTTTGGCTATCCGATTATTAATCAATTCATCATAAAAATAATCTACAGATTAAACAATTTGCAAAATAATCATTAGTTGCAGCTCTACAAGGAACAAATACAAATCTTAACTTCGTTTAAATATCATAGCTTACATTTACATATTCAGACACCTGTTCACACATTTTCTTCGAGAGTTATCTTACCCCATATAGAAAACTATAATCTGAAAACATTGGAAAAGGAAAATATAAAAAAAATGATTGAGGTAATTAGAGATTTGAGCTATTAATCCAGATGGATTAACTCGGAGG